AGGTGAAGGTAACAATACCCTATGACCCACCCAAACTATTTACAGAGATCATAAATGTAGTCTAGAACCAGTATACACACTCTCCTCCTTTACAAAAATAATCCTGACCACGCATTGTGGCGCACACCTGTAATCCCAGTGGCTCAGGAGGCTGAGACAGGAGGATCATGAGTTCAAAGCCAGTCTCAGCAACAGTGAGGTACTAAGCAACCCACTGAGATCCTGTCTCTAATAAAATACAAAACTGAGCTGGGGATGTAGCTCAGTGGCTGAGTACCCCTGAGTTCACTCCCCGGTACCAAAAAAATAAATAAATAAAATAAAAACTAATCTTAATTTCAGAATAATATACTTAATTGATAACTTTACGAAATAATGACTTCAAGACCACTAACAACTTGATTTGCTATAGGACCCACAGATTCAACATTTATTTGCACTACACCTAAGGTTTGTTATAGTGAAAGGATATAATATAAGAATGTCATAGAAAAAAATACACACACAAAAAAAGTGGAGAAATTCCCACAGGCCTCCAACTTTTCTGATGAGGGAACCTACTGAGCATATAAATTTCTTCAACAGAAAAATATTTTAAAAAGTTTTTAAATTGCAGTGCTATAAGCATAATTGTATAAAAGATGTATGAGTAAGAATGTCTCTACAATACTTTCTAAATAACAAAAATTGGAAATAAGCAAAAGGTCCATCAATTAAATGTTACATAAATTATAGTATATCCTCACTTTGAAATATAATGCAATCATAAACTTTAACATAGTTTTACATTTTAATTCTAATCTTGTATTTTGTATGGCATGCATTACTCATAAAACTGACCACCTGAATACACTGACATGGAAGAATTTCCAACTAGAAATAATGCTCACTTCTAAAAAAAAAAAACCTGTATAAAGAAAGTGATAAAGGGAGACTTTCATTTAATTCCACATATTTTCCATGAAGACTTAAATTTTCATTATGAAGAATATATACATGAGTTTTATAAATATTTAAAATTGGTCCTATACCTGAATGCTTCCCTCAGTATCAAGAACTTCAGCAACAGGAACTGACTGGATAAACTGCATGAAACCTACACAGAAATGAACAAACATACTGTATCCATAATACCTTTTAGATAATAGAAATAAAGGTTCTACTAAGAATAACCTTCTTTTGTAATGGATACACTCTACATCTGAACAACTTAAAAAGGTCTGTAAACGCTATATTCAGTTTATTGTGGCATTGACAACACTAACTACCAGGAAAATTTTTATGCTAATTAATCTGCTTATTTGTCTAGGCAAATTTCTATTATTGAACAAAAGAACACAAAGCAACAGACAAAGCTTCTTAAATCTATCATCAAAATTTTCTTCTTTCCATGGCTGGATAAGAGATAGTAAT